TTGGTGTCAATTCTTTCGGGTAAACGATCCTCCCTAGTCAGCACATCTCACCCGAAATTGGTGCTAACAACGTCAAGAGCTCGCAACTTGAGGTGAACCGCGCCCTCCATAGTCTAGCCCCGCCCACAATATGGATATCCGTCTTTGCTTACTACGCGCTCTGTTGGCCGCATCTGGTCGCTCATCTGTGTTTCCACTCACCACATGCTCGTCCACTGCCGAAAATCAAGCCTCACCTAGAAGCGGGTTTTATCCATTTTTTTTACTATTGACTGGTGCCTTCAGATCCATAATTAAATCCCACCACGCATTAATCACAATCGCGGAATGTGACTTTAAGTTTAATCACGTACTATCTTTTCTGACGCTTTAAAAGTGCTTTTTAAAGGGACCTGGTGGTCGAAAACCGAAGAAGGTCGGGATACGTCTTCGCCGACATTCTGACAGTAAGAACACGAAATCATCCGATGAGTCGATGGAACAGGCTGCCGAGGCTGAGGCCACTGAAAAAACGTAAAATTCGAGCATTTGCTTTGATTATGACCATCAGTTGAATTTTCTGTATTTAAGGGAAGAGAAAGTGGTTGAGGAAAAGAACGATGCCACAGAGAATGAGAAAACCTCAGAAAAAGAAGAGGGAGAGGGACAAGCAGCAGAAGCGCCCCCAACTGTCCCCGCTCCTCCTGTAGAGAGCGTTGTCGTGGAAGTCAAGGTGGAAGAGAAGCCAAGCGTTGCGACCACCGAGCAACCTCCTGAGCAGCCACCTGCTTCACCAAAGAAGCCAGCTTCGGAAGGAAATAAGTCAGCCCCGACTTCGCCCAAAAAGGTAATCGTCTACTTATTGCGAGTTACTTTTCTACGTGATTGTTATCTCTCTAGGAAGAACAGCAGCCCTCAACAACAGCTGGAAGGCGTCGAAGCAGTACAGGATCGGGTCGTCTGTCCAAGAGGGAGGCAATCGAGCAACTCAAGGAGGTCATGGATTACACGCTTCCTGAAGACAGAAATAAACCTGTGCGTTTAGTAGTCTGATTTCTTCGTATACTCCTTCACTCATTAGCTTTCAGAGTCGAGAGGAAAGGAAACTCCAAGCTGCGTTGGCAGCTATTGAAAGGAAGGAGGAAAAGGAGAAGCGACGAGCAGAGGCTCATAAGGACTCCAGTGATGTCAAGGAGAAAAGAGTTCGTTTGGCTAACTTTCATTTTTTTGTATGCTTGTCTGGGTTCTCACGTTTCGCGTAATATAGCACTGGTCCGTTACATGTTAAGAAATGAATCGTTACCTCTCTTCTCACTCGCTCATGCGGTCGCTAATGGGGGGTGGGGAACCTGTACTCGTGTTGTATGACGTCAAAAACACGTCATGATTCCTTACTGGATGTGCTGGACCAGTGGCACATCGACCTTGCAGTCTCCCGAAATACCGATATTTTTGAAGGGTCCTGGACGGCCTGCTAGATCGAGCACTGGAGGCGGTGCGAAAGCTGGGAAGCGCTCCTCTGAAAGACATAATGACAAGGATAAGGATAAGAAAGTGGATAAGGACAAGAAAGTGGATAAGAAAGTGGAACCTATCGTGGAACCGTCCGTCAGGGAAAGCCCACGTGTAAAGAAGAAGAGTGAGTTTGTACTCAAGGGTATTCTCTTTAGTTGTGTATTACTTATTTTATGATGACTGAAATTTCTAGGGGAGGATTTTAAAGAAAATGAAGTTGATGAAGTGTCCACTGTAGCTCAGCCACCAAGAAAACGATGGGCAGCAGCAGTGAAAGAAAACGGTAAGGGTTTCTCGGAAAGTGTGATGTTCGCATATCGTGAGAGGAGCTTTTTTGTAGAAGCAGCTCAACGCGCCTCGTCGCCTGAGGTGACGTCTTCATCGTCAGCAACTTCGACGGGAGCCGGAGATGTCAGTTCAGCGGATTCGGTCAACCCAAGTAGCGTTAGTGGGAAAAAGCTTTGGTTGCGACGACATGCTGCGGAATCAATCAGTGAGGAAAGTGTGCAAGCGGCTGAGACTGCGGCATCTTCTGAACCTCTGACATGTGCGGCAGATTCTACCAGTGACATCGCCACATTGCCATCGAGGATCCAGGTCAGATTTACACTGCAAACATCGTTGTTTTGTTGAAAGTTTCATTACAAGTGGACTTAAAGACAGTGTGCACTCATCTTCGAGAACAATATTTTCCTTGGGGGAGATGAATAGGTCCGCAGTTGCAGTAACGTGCCACTTTGTCCGCTCAAAGTGCACGGGAACGGTGAAGGAGGGCTGTGATGCTCGGCTGTTGTCCCCATACTCTGCTCGCGCGATTATCATCAGCGTGCAGTAATCACACCAATACCGAAATTCCGCAGCGAAACACTCACTCACGGTAGAGAACAAGCAGAAGTGGGAGAGTGCAGACAAGCACAGAGCGAAGCTCGCTACCCTTCAGCCGCACTCCTGGCAACTTTGACCGGTGAAAGCGGCATGGTGCTGGAGATACGGATCCATTTACCTCGCATATAGTAAGGACCAGAAACCACGGAAGTGAGTGTACAGTTTGTATTCAAAGCCTGTTGCGTTTATTTCACTGCCTCATCTTAAATAAATTGATTAAAAATTTGACATTCGATAAATCTTACTTGTTGAAGGATCACTCAGCGATCAAATGTAGTCTTGTCCGCCGGGGGGGGGGGGTGGGCAGCGAAGTGATATTTTTGGCGCGGCGTCTGCCCTTTTATTTCCTGTTGTTTCGGAAAGCGAGAAGACGAAAGAAGTACAATTTCTTCTGTACAGCTGGTGGAGAACGGGCTGGCGACGCGCCAAACCCGGCTCCAGTAACACGCCTCGTCATCCGCAGTCGAGTTTCCATATTTGGAGGATTGAGTACGTGATCTACCAACAGTCTCCGGATACTAACATGGAAGAAAGCTATTGATCGGATGTCGATTGTTTTTGGATGCGACCATGAAGTGAATAGGATAGGATATATCATGACCGTTAGTTTGAGGAGTGCACGTCAGTCAAGTAGCTAGCAGATCTGGTTGATGCAGTTGTTACCTAGTAAATGAGTGGTTTTGGTGAGAGGTTTTGAATGCTTGTATTACAGATGAGTCCTCCATTGAAGAAGAGACGGCACATGTTGGAAGCATGCCAATCTGATGAACATGTTGCTGCAACAGCTCTGGCGCAAATGGGTGCGAAAGGTTGGTCATGTTGTTACCTAAAACTCTCTCGTTTCCCTCATTTTTTCAAATGGAGATTTTTCCAGCCGAGGGATTTCGTTTTCACTGGAACATGGCCTTACGCTACCTGATGCCTAATCTCAATGAAAGCTTGAATGTGGATTTTGACTTGGCCGAGTCTGTGCGAAAACCATTACCTCTACCGTCTGTACGTAAACCTGTCACAACTCTTCCTTCGGTGTCTGTAGAAGCTGCCACGGCCACATCAACATCGTCTCAAGTCCCCACGGCTTCTTCTTCAGTTGAAGTCAGAAAGGTAATGCTCTGGAACATATCGACGCAGAGTTTATGTGAGCTAATCAATTTTTGGTATTAATTGGAAATTTAGGCTAAACGATTGAGCTTGGAAGACTACAAAAGGCGTCGAAGTACAATGGGCTCATCGGACAACACGGCAGTTCCAAGTGGTGCTACTACAACGCAGACTACGACGTCTGGTAACCTTGCCGATCTCAGAAATCGAAGTGGAGAGAGTAATAGTCGCCCGACACGTTCATTCATTCCTACCATGGATACCTCTTTGGTATGACGAACGTTTTTTTCGATTATTGATTCACACTTATAGAACACTTTGTATTGTTGCTGCTTATAGACCAAAGTGCACTTTTGGACCTTGCTAGACATGCAATCCCTATTCCGCCGTAGGGTACCACCAGATTTGGAAGTGGTCAAGAAAATGATCCTAGAAGAGGTACGCTGTACTTGTATTGGAGCTGTACCTTATACTTTCACAAGGTTCAATCTACCACAGACTGTGAAGTTTGGATTGTTTTACACTACTTTTGTCGCTTTCAGTCATGTATTCCTTCTCCTCCGGTACCTCCTTCATTACCGCAACCAGTTGAAACTCCAGCGAGTACTGTACCGGCTCGCTCTCATAGTGATATGTCTATCGGTTCCAGCTCGGAGTGCGGTGAAGAAAGAATGTCGCTTGCTGATCGTTTAGCGAAAGAGTTCGGCGTTGGTGAGTTGTGTGGGTTTTTTGGGGTTTTTATTTTTCATAATATAATGGTAATTAATTGAGTGTTTCAATGGTGGTATCATTTTTCTTCTAGGTACTGCTGGAACCCCTCGTTCTCCAAAACCAGTTCTCTCGTCTGGTCATCGGGCGATGCCATTAAGAGGTAGTTTGAGTGGCTATTTTTTGTCCTTTCTTGAATACACGTTACGCTATTGGAAATCATGGGTACTGGCATAAGTTTGTAGGTTGTAATTGACTGGACAGTACAGAAAAGATTAGAAAAAATGGGAAACTTTAAGTTTAAGACGTTCATTTTTCAGCATTTGGCGAAGTAAAACGCCCTGATAGGAGACGCAGAACGCAGCTGATTAGCACAGGTCCGCAACACGTTCTTAGTGCGAGAAAAGTGGGGCCAATGCACACGGTATTATCCTTATTTAGGCCTGGTGTAGGCAAAGTTTCTAACAATCGCAAGCGTATTTGCGATTTTCTAACAATCATACGGATTCCCGTGAACGTCCGACTGCTACAGGGCGTTTTGATCAATAGGTCGCGTCTTCTTGCCTGGTATGTGTGGCTTGCGTGGCTCACTGCGTCGAGCGTGGCGTCTCTGCGTCTCTATCAATGGCATGCTCGTTCAACGTGGAAAATCTCCTGCAAAAAAATTGATCTTATCTAGGGTGTTTTTCGACGCCTTCGCTACTCTTTCTGTACTGACAGGTCAATTAGCGCTCAAAAATTGATGTTTGGACCTCAGTACACACGTTTTGCTCCAAGACGGACTGTACCCTTGTCCATGTTCGGGGAGAATGGGTCCGCCGCTGCAGTAGTGTGCCACTTCCTAAGCTCAAAGAGTATGGAGAGGGACTAGAGGGTAGTGATACGCGGGTACTGTCTCCATACTCCGCCTGCGCTGTAGCACGCCAAGCCGCCTAGCCATGGCCGCGCTGCTTCTGCTCACCCTCTTACTTCTGGTTGTTCTCTGTCGCTGGAGGTGCAGTAGTTTACTCGCGGGACTTCGCCATCGTGGCAAGCACTGAACCTTGAGGAGTAGCTAGGGAGGAGTATGGAGAGAGCGCTCGAATACCATCACCCTGCAGCTCCCGTTCCCGTGCATTCTGAGCCGAGAAAGTGGCTCGCTACTGTAGCTGCGGATCCGCTGGCCTCACAAGGAGCAAGGACCGTCCTTAGGATGCGCAGTTCGCCTCTAAAGATACGCGTTACCTGCAAGATAGAACCTTGCCGTGAGGTTTGGGCCAGCAGCTGTAGAACAGTGCCACTTTGATCACGAGAATAGTGTGCCAAAGTGCGGTATGCGCGTTGAGGCCGGGCACATTGTTGTTGGGGAATCCCCAATAGGGGGTCGTATTTGGGCTGAGAAAAATTTATTTTGATAGTTGATTTTTCTCGCTTCACGGACGTTGTAAAGGGGGGTCGTACTTGCTCATAGTTGGGAGGAGAGGACGCAGACATGTAGCGCGTTTCGATATAGTTAGGCGTACGTAAGTTCGCACGTTGCGTCTACGTCTGAAACGGTTATCACTACCCTTCAGTCTCATTTCGGCGCACTTTCAAATGACGAAAGTGGCACACTTCCGATTCACCTTGCACTTTGCGAGGGTCAGAATTTTCGAAAGTGAGCATATCTTTAAACGGGTTTTTTTTCAGATGTGCCACCTCCTCCGCCTCCAGGACCGCGTCCAACTCGTAATACCCGTTGGTGATTTGCCGGTGATCTCGTCTATTTTTTGTGTGTTCAATCTCGTCCGATTCGGCGCTGTTCTGGTTTCTCCTCTGAACCGTCTACCTCGCCTTTCACGTATAATCGTGCAAATCCCGGTCCCAGTGTCACAATTATTGCATAGGTGCGTCGCATCGCTTATTCATTTCCTCTCAAAATGCTGGTGAATATTTTCACCTTTGAATAATACTGCTGGCATGATTGTTTGCTAGAGAATTGGCTCGTCCGTCGCTTTTCTTTCCTGACAAATCTTACATATGGTGCGCGCTCGTTCTGTGTTCATGTGTGCATGATACATTTCTACATTAAGATGTTAGTTTAGTGGAGTTTAGATGATGCATGATAGATGTACATATTGCATTGATCTTCTGAAATAAATAAACCAATGAATGCTGTATAAAAGATTGTTCTTAATTTTTTGTCTGTCGATTCCCCCTTGTTTCCCCCTTTCAAATTGATGTGTTCACCCGTCAGAACTCTCTCTCCATTCACACATACACATGGCAAAAGTGATACTCTTGCGCATTAATCGTCATCATTGAATATTATGTTCCGTAGTAGTATTGCATTTCATATTGTCACTTTTCATGGAGATTATTTTTTTTCCGCATTTGCCTCGTTGAACGAGACGTTTTTTTCCAATACCAATCATCAATCTATATATGTGCGACAGTAGTTTATTCCACATTATTACACATACACTATTGAAATGTGTCTTAATTAATCTACAGTTGCAATGACGACATTCTAATAAAGTGAAAGAAATATTTGATTGTTTTGGTCTGTTTTGTCTTCGCACTTCAGTAGTCGTTCAGAGTTCACTCTGAGGCTGCGTTCATACTTTGCGTCGGCGTTTTGAACGTGCAGCAGCGTCCCGAGCGACTAGGAAAGTATAGATATCGATTTAGCGTTTTGAGCGTTTCGCCGGTAGTTTTGATCCTTTTGCGATAAGTCGCTGAAGGCGCTGGTGCACGCTTAGAATGCAGATCGATATCTATGCTTTCTTAGTCGATCAAAACGGTGCCGAACGTTGAAG